ACGAAAAACTACCCAATGGTCAAAAATCTTTGATACAAATCGACAATTTCGCACACCTTGATTTCGTGTGGGGAAATGATGTAAAGTCTTTGGTATACAATAAAATTTTGAATTTCATGGAACAACATGGAAAATAAATATTAATAATTACTTTGGGTAAATAATTTACGTTCAATATTCGCTTTTGTTATGTATTACAAAACTATTAGTTTGTGTTAAAAAAGTTATAACACTAGTTTTATTTTGTCGCTCTGTGTGTAATCATTACAACTTCCTAGCCGATACATTGTGCAGAAATGTATACGTTTCGACTATGTTGTACAGAAATTTTTATTAATATCTATCGAAAAATAATAAATGTTTGAAACTAGAATTTTATATCTGATGTCTCCTACTCTCTCCTTTCTAGTAACTGAAATATTGCTGTCGATCCCCCAACAATGATTTTCAGGACTAGAAGTAAGTCAATTTAAAAATTCCAAAATTTTTGGAGTGCAGTTGTCACAAAGATTTTCATTCATACAACTTCTTCTGTTCAAGATGGCTTAAACCTTATAAATGTCAATCTGTAGAAAGTTTTACTATTTCTATATACGTGTATATACATGATAAAAATCACATAAGTATCTGATCAATAAGAAATATTTGGCGATGAGCGATATTTTCGATATTTTTATTATAAAGATTCTTAATATACTTTGTAATTAATATATAACAAATTCTTTCTTTTTCAATTGAAACGTTCACTCGATGATTTTGCAGACATTTTGGTGATAAATAAATAGGGAATCAAATTTTTTAGGCAACATATTGTTATTTAAATTATATAATAGATGGTGTTTCACGAAAACCAGGCCACCTGAATATCTTCTCTATCAGTGATATTTATTGAGAGAAGTGTTTAAATTTAAATGAGGCTTATTGTTAAATAAAAATTCTTCGTTCAGCATCGCCAATTATGTGTTTCGTACCTCGAATCTTATCTGTTATCGAGTCTACTCATTTACAAAATTAAAAGATAGCAATTCCTCATTATGCATGTATAAAAGATATAGAATTGGATATTTTAATTGATATTTTTTACTCTGGATGTCTCATTTCGTAAGAATTTTTCTTCATATACGTAAAAAGTATTTACTAATCTATAAGTATGACGTAAACAAATATTTACAATTTTTTTGATTTTGATTAACAATGTTTTTGATTTACAAATTTACAAATAAACTAATAAACAGCATATTTCTTCGAATTAAGTTGATTACACTTATTGACGTTCTTATTTATTCTTATTTATTTGAATAAATGAAACTGCTTTCAAACCTTGCAGATGATTAATCAAAAATTTATGTGGAGGAAATCCTGAGTATAATTTACGTGCATTCTCTCCACGCGTGAGAGACAGAAAACTGAAAATTTATAAAAAAAAACAC